CCCCCCCCCCCCCCCCATCAACAGTCCCACCCCCCCACGGCACAGGCCCCAAAGCCCACCAATGCACCGAAGGCCCCAAGGCCGGGCGCCGGTGCACCCGCCGGCCCAAGACCCCGGCAACATACCCGCCATGGCCCGAGACCCCCGGACCAAGCCGGGAACCCCGCCCAGGAGCGATACCACCCCAGAACCCGCACCCGCGTCCACCCCAAACCCACCCAGGGACAGCCAGGTCACCAGGCCAGTAACCCATGTCCGCCGGTACAGACCACCCAGAAGCCCGCATGCAGCCAGCACAGGCCATCACCCAGAACCACCAGAGCCACCTCCCCAGTCGGGCGCCACCGCTCCAGGCCCATGACCCCCCCCCCCCCATGTCCCCAGCCCCGACACCCCACCCACACCGACCACCATGCCCCACGGGACAGAATCAAAGGGGACCACCCACCTCCACTACGTGTTGGAGCCGATTAAAGAAGTCCAGAGAGAATAGTCTGATGTGGGGGTACAGGCTGTCTCAAGACTGATGTAATCCAAGAGACGGTCTTTATACTGTTTAATACTAAGTGTATTTTTATTTCTCCAATTCATGAGTATAGTTTTTTTTGCTATACATAAGGCAGTGAGAATCATATGAATTGATTTAGTCTCCAAGGTGACATCATCTAAGTGGCCCAATAAGCAAACTGACGGAGAGAGTGGAATATTACATCTCAGACACTTTGATAAGTCTTCACATATCCGGCACCAAAACCTCTGAACAGGTGGACAGAACCAAAATGTGTGGATGTAATTGTCAGGAATATTGTCTGTACACTGTGAGCAAATATTAGATGATGCGAAACCCATCTTGAACATCCGTTGACCTGTATAGTGTACTCTATGAAGGATTTTGTATTGTATTAGTTGTAAATTCGAGTTTTTAATTATCTTAAAAGTTCTCAGACAGATCTGCGACCAAAAGTTTTGGTCAAAATTAACTGACAAGTCTGTCTCCCATTTTACAATGGGAAGAGATATAGATTCATCTATTTTACTGAGTTTCTGATAAACCTTAGATAGTAATTTGGGAGGGTTAAGATTAAGGAATTCTAATACACTTGTTGACATTTCAATCCTAGTGTTATTAAGGTTAAATTTATTTTTGGTTATAGATTTAATTTGTTGATATTCTAAAAATTTATTCTTATCAATCCCATATTGTGTTATTAATCTGTTAAATGGGATGTAGTCCACTTCTTCATATATATGTTCCAAATATTCAATTCCTTTACACCTCCAACCTGGGAAGTTTATCATCTTATTCTGTTGTAGGATGTCTGGGTTGTTCCAGATGGATGTACGTTTACATGGGATTAGTGAAGACTCTGTCATTTTAAGAAACTCCCACCAAGCTGTCAGAGAGGAGCTGATATCGATGCATTTAAAGCATTCCTGTCATTTTATGTTTGAGCTAATGAATGGAAGGTCCGAGATCATTATATTATTGCAAAGTGTCTCCTACGTCTAGCCAGGGTTCATCAAGGGGTGTGTGTTTTATCCATTTTGAGATGTATTCTAGCCTGTTGGCTAGAAAATAATAAAAGTTGGGTAGTTCTAGTCCTCCTTTATCTTTGGATTTCTGTAGTGTTTTTAATCTAATACAAGGGCGTTTATCTTTCCATAGAAATTTAGAAATAGAGGAGTCCAGGGATCTAAACCAGTCAGATGATGGTTTATTTGGGATCATTGAGAATAAATAATTTATTCTAGGCAAAACCATCATTTTTATTGATGCGATCCTTCCCATGAGAGATATGGGTAAAGATTTCCATCTAGCCAGATCATCCTCAATTTTCTTTAAAAGTGGGGTGTGGTTTAGTTTTGTTAAATCTGCCAATTTAGGCGAAACTTTGATACCCAAATATGTAATATTCCCTGATTGCAGTTGTGTAGTAAGTGAATTGTTGAAAGAGCAATTAATTGGTACTGTGGATTTTAGCCAGTTTATAGAGTAATCTGAAACTTTTGAGAAGGAGTTTATCAATCCAATAACCTGAGAGATGGAGGTTTGTGAATGCCAGAGGAAGAGCAGCACATCATCAGCATATAGACTGATTTTGTGCTCTCTGTTCTTGCATTTTATGCCTTTAATATCTGTAGTTTGCCTGATTGCTGTGGCTAGTGGTTCGATGAAAATAGCAAACAGTGAGGGGGAGAGTGGACATCCCTGCCTGGTTCCCCTTTGCAAAGCAAAACTAGCAGATATTTGATTATTTGTCCTAATGCATGCTGGTGCATGGTGTTGTCTTCCTAATGATACTGCAGGTTCATCCAGTAGCAGCTCCTGGGGTGGGTGGGGCACATTTCCTGAATCAATAACCACACAAATGTAATGATCTGCTGTGAAAACAGATCAACTATTTGTTGCTTAATATTTATCATTTTTTCCTCTCCGGCAGGTTAAAGTTGTGTCTTGTTAAAACAGTCTGGTCTAATAATTCAACTAATAATGAAATCAGAGAAATGGACGCCTCCTACACCCAGCTCCACCTGAAGCGAGCGTATATTTAATTATAAAGTACAATTAAACACAGCTTTCTGGAATGAATTTCTAATTTGATTTGAAGTGATAATTCTGCAACAATACTCCAGATTTACAATGTTAATGGGGACAGAAGTCATGTGAAGTAATTCTAAATATAATAAAAGGTCCAGGCAGGGTTCGAACCTGCACACATGGTGCCCTTATTTATATAAGTTAGTCTCATTATGAACTGGCTGCACCTTTAATTGCATTTTCTGGCATTCTTTTTTATGAATAAGGATTTCTGAACAAAGTTCACTGAAAAAGATTTCCACCCAAACCAAATGGTGCAAATTATTAACAAAATGTCCTGAGGACTCAATAAATTTCTAAAAAAGTTCAATCTGGTCCTCTGGACATTCAAAAAAACAAAACAAAACAACAAAAAAATATAGAAACGTTTCGTCTCTCATCCGAGAGACTTCCTCAGTCTGAGGTGCTGTATTCAGCTCAGTCTCTTAAATAGCACCTTCTCAGAGTGGATCGACCAGTTTTGCTGCTGACAACCAAAACCAGCTGATCACATGCTCAAGAAGAACCATCAGCCTAACAATGGATCATTAGCACACTGATGGCTGTTTACTATTCACAGAGGGCTGAGTGATACTAGCAATCACAGCATTGTAAGAGGGGGACAATTGAACACGTAGGCCTCCACCCCTGTTTAACGATGGACGGTTTCTTTTCACAAAGATGGCCTCCTTTACTCCTCTCTCAAACCATCGTTCCTCTCTGTCCAGGATGTGAACATCTTCATCCCTGAAAGAGTGACCGCTGGCCTGGAGATGAGTGTAGACCGCAGAGTCCTGGCCTGATGATGTTGATCTTCTGTGCTGGGCCATCCTTTTGGCCAGTGGCTGTTTTGTTTCCCCGATGTAAGACTGATCACAGCCCTCCTGACACTGAACAGCATACACCACATTACTCTGTTTGTGCCAGGGGACTGGATCTTTGGGATGAACCAGTCTTTGCCGTAATGTATTTTGGGGTTTAAAAGCCACTGGGACGTTATGTTTAGAAAATAAACGTCTCAACGCTGAGACTGGTTGAAAGAGGTAAAAAGTTCTGTTAAGCTTCAGATGGACTACTGTCAGCAACCCATCAGCCCAAATGGACGTTCATTCAGCCGCTGCACTCAGTGGACGCGCGCGGCTGACAACCCAAACACGTGAGATCACAAAGTATCCAACATGTCAGAACAGCATGCAGGCAGAAGAAGCATTTAATGCGCTTTGACGGCTCTTCAGCTCCGATTTTCTGCCCCTCAGCTGTGCGCATCCGCCAACTGTTAATAATAGTCAGTATAAGTAAAGCTCAAGTTAAAAAGGTGGTGTGTGTGTGTGTGTGGG